CTCGGTAACTTGCTGGGCTCTCCGAGAGGGACGAAAGAATCAAACCCAGGTCAGTCTCGTGCAGGGCAAATGCCCTACCCGCATAGTGCTATCCCTCCAGCCCGATGACTGTATAATGAAATAAAATTTGTCTTCAGGTCTATAATTGTTTGAACCTTCATCTTTGACCAGAGTCTTAGTGGCTTTCCAAGGTGCCTAATTACAAAATGTTCAATGTGCTCTGTGATATTTTCAAAGTTCATTAATGAGAAATAATCACTTTCATTTTAGAATATTCTAAAGCTAGATGAGGAAATTCCCTTTCTATATCAGTGAGAATGTGATGCCTATAATTTCTTTTAGGTAATTTAGAATGATGATTTCATATTATTAGTCCATAGCCATAATCAATGTCTAACGACTTTACATGCTGCTTTACATGGTTCAGTGTCTTTAATTGACATGGCTCCCTTTTTCTTCTGACCTTCCAATTTTTTCCAATTGGGATTTCTTTTGTCTTGTTTTATTTTTTTAATATTATATGAAATGGATCACTTTTTTACTCCTACACAATAAATGATTTTGATAGTCATGTACACAAAATTAAGAACTCAATGGGTAAAGAAATAAAGGCCAAGTATAATGTTACTAGACTAATATTAATATTACTTTTTTGTTGGTGGTGGTCTTGGGGTCACACCCAGCTATATGCTCAGGGCTTACTCATCACCTGTGCTCAGGGATCACTGCTGGCAGAGCTCCAAGGACCATATGTGATGTCAAGTACTGGGTTGACTGCATGCAAGGCAATTAGTTACATTGACTCATTAACCTTCAGCTTTATCTTGGACATCATGAAATAATGCATGCGATCTTTCTAAATATAATACATATATACATATATATTACCATCTACATTGGAATATAAAAAAAGAGCCTTTTATCACAGTTATAAGAATGAATTTCTACAAGAGTAGTTCACTTTTTTGTCTTTAAGCCTCATTTTTCTTAACAGGCTGTCCTAAATTTTTATTTTGAAAAAAATGAATTTTATATGCTAGAAGGTAAGAAACATAAGGAGAGTAATTATAATGGGATTTAAATAATGCACTTACATTTCTTTGCCAATAAACTTGTTCTCTTTAAGTTTCTTTTATAAGCTCTAAGATATGTCGTTTAATGTACAAATACTATAAAAGATAAAAAACACAATACTGTCAGCTTCCCAAATTGAACACTGCTGTTTTCCTACTACAGATTTGGCAACCATTCAGATGCAAGTTGTTATGATTTAAAAAATTTTAAATACATCTGAATTTCCATTGATTACTCTCCAAATCAGGTTAGATATACTCTCTGCAGGTACATTTGTCAGAAATAGTGTGTGTTTAAAGGGAAGGTTTTTGGGTTTTATAATCATCCTGCTTTATTATTAGACCTTTAAATTTTTCATTCTGGGTAGCAGTATTTTACTTTATTTATTAGCTGTAGGATCTTTATTAAGCAGAGTCAACAGGGCTGATTTATTCTTTCTTCACAGTTGAATTATCAAGTATTTCAATCAATAGAGGAACAATTTCTAATTGTTAGAGTGTTCTAATGGTAGAATGTTCTCCAAGCCAGTGAATCTGGGATTATTTCAGCATAGTGATTATAGCAAAGCTCTTTAGACACCATAGAACTGATTAATATGCACACGAATGGCCCCATTTCAGCATCCTGGGGAGAATTTCAACTTTTCCCCACAATTGTCAAAAAGCCACAGTTATCAATTTAATATTCATAGCCATGATTCTTTGTGGAATATCTGCTTCTTGCATTAACAGGTTTCCTTGTTTGATTTTGCTTTTTGGGTCACACCCAGCGATGCTCAGGGGTTACTCCTGGCTCTGCACTCAGGAATTACTCTTAGTGGTGCTGGGGAACTATATGGGATGCTGGGGATTGAACCTGGGTCGGCCGCATGCAAGACAAATGCCCTACCTGCTGTAATATGGCTCCGGACCTGCATTAACAGTTTTAGAAGCATTTGTTTCCAGTTGTTGTTTTTGTTTTTTCAAAGAACTCAGGTTCATGAATAGAATGTTATCTCTGTTGCCTGGTTTATTATTTCCTAGTGATAGCTGTAGTAACTGCATGAAGGCTGCTTGGGTGTGTAGAAAGGATGAACTTAAGATGAATTAATCAAGATTTTATGCTTGCTTTTGTATTTGGAGAAAGATCAGATGTTGACTTGTTGACAAAAGGTTTTTAATGAGGATAACGAGCAAAAAAGAACCGTCTGATGGATCTTTATAATATTCATCCCTGGCTCTGTGCTCAGAGATTATTCCTAGTGGGATTAGGGGCCATATGGGATGCCAGGAATGGAACCCTGGTTGTCTATGTGCATGGCAGATGCACTACCCACTATATTATCTCTCCGACCCCAATTTTTCAAATTTAATGGGATCATGCCTAATCTTGTTTTTAAAAAATGATTGAATCCCCATGAGTTACACAATTACAAAGTTGTTCATGATTGGATTTCAGTCATACAATGTTCCAACACCCATCCTTCCATCCATTTACCATATTCATTTCCTGCCACCAATGTCCCCTGTTTCTCTCTACCTCCCTCCCATTCACAGCATTTCTCTATGATAAACTCTCTCTGTCTCTGTCTCTGTCTCTGTCTCTGTCTCTGTCTCTCTCTCTCTCTCTCTCTCTCTCTCTCTCTCTCTTTCTCTCTCTCACTGTGATTTTCAATACTGTTATAGTGTTGTTAAGTCAGATAGGAAAGCATGCTCCTAAACTTACCACTCAGTTAAGTTTATTTATTCCTATTTCTTTTTTTTTTCTCTTTTCCCAAATCAGAAGCATTATAAGGAAGGAGTATTTCTAATGATTTTGATTTCCATATTTAACATATTATAAATAGCTGATAAATATTAGATATACCAATATTTGAACATTTTTCAAAAACAGTATCATTGCACTTTTTCTTTTTAATTTTAAATAGGTACTTTGGACAAAACATTGTGTCCCCATTTCACCTTACAGTGGTATTATAACCCTCTTAGGTTACACTCAGTATTTATTTAAAACCACTTATAATTTCAGCAGCTTACCAGATTTATAAAATGACTTAAAATAAAATTAAGTTGTTCAGAATTAAGTTGCCTTAATAAATTTAGCCTTCATAATAAGAAATTCCATTAGACCATTTTAAAGAGATAATAGTAATATGGATTACTGTCAAGAGAATAATGATTCTTTGTACCACTTAACCACACTCTGGGGTTTTGAAACTATGAAGATGTCTCAGCTTTCCACCTTCACATTATTGTAAAACAATTTTTAAAAAAATTAACCCATAGTAAAACTATCTTTCTCCATTAAAAATTGAAAAATGCAGCTTTCAATTTTAAGGAAAATAACTGAAAAATTTATATGATCTTATATGATAAATTTTAGAATATAAGATTGAAAACAAATCACAATCACAAATTGAAAACAAAAATCAGTGAAACTGACCATCTGTACTAAGTCCAAAATCTTCTGTGATTGTCATCAACAGCCAGTAAAATAAATGTGTTTTTGTGATAGCTCCCAAATGGTGCTCTGTGGAATACTCACTCCCCGTGTGCTAACAGGAACGTGTTAATTTGAGTAATATTGCAAACTCTTGGAGAATTGTCAAACACAGTATATTTAAGGCTCTGGGAAATCACACAGTAAAGAGGTCTACATAACTATTAGTGTATCTAAACTTATCCATAGAGTATTCTTCTTTACATAACATTTAAAGACCTTGGGAATATTTTATGGGAAATATTCTGTAATACAGAAGATATTTTCAGATCCATGATCTTATTTGGTCCTCATAAATAGAAGCTCTCCCTCAAACAGACTCCATCTAAGACATGAGGTACCTGCTGAGGTTGAGTCAGGGTAGGATGGCAAAAACTAACCTAGGATAGATAAAGTCAGTGAAGTAAAGTAGGGAAATGAGAAAGAAGTTTCCAAAGAAGAAAAAATAAAAATCATCCTAATTCCTGAAGCTGTCCAAGACTCAGGAGCTGGGCAGATGGTGGTGGATCTATGAGATGCATTCAGCAGATGATGGGGACGTGGATACTAGGCTTGAAAAAGACCAACCACCTGGTAGCAGCACACTTTGTGGTGGTATTTCTCTATTCCCTTTGCATGCCCTTTTATGCATTCTTCCTTACCACTACCTGTCTTCTTCCGGGAAATGCTTAGTCATTTGTTCTGTAATATATGTTACTCTGTTAGACATTGCAAACTCAACAACATGTTCCTGTCTTCAAGGAGCAACATGTGCAGAAATATTCTCTAAAACCAAGGGGCACATAGAACATCGTGTAGTAAGAGAGAAAACCATGGGCACAATTTGGAAGAATCTGGAGGTCAGTTTGGTTCTCTGGGATTAGTATGAAGTAGCTTCCTAAGCAAGATAGAAAAGAGGAGGAATGCAGAAGGAAAGTGTTGTTGCGGCTGTGAGGAGCTGGGTTTTTCCCACTATAGACTTTTCCTACTAAAGCCTGTAATCCAGAAGGCATTGGTTGGCATTGAATTCTTAGCAGGTGAGCAACAGTGTAGGGTTTGTCATTTAGAAATATGTCTTGGCTAAAGAAAAGAACGCTTTAGAAAAGAATTGACTAGAACAGAGGCAGAGAAACCAGTTATGTCAGTGACCCAGTCTGCAGCATTGGAAAAGGAGAGGAAGGAAACAATTCCCAGGATACTGCCAAGATGTGCTAACCGGATGTGCTGACCGAGACTGGGATGGATAAGCAAGGAATTAAAGAGGACACATTCTCCTGCACTCCTTTTTACCACAGGAGGGTTTTTTCCCTGAACCTGAAAACACACCTAAGAACTTTGAGACCTGTTCACTCCAGTAACTGCAGCTCCCTCTCACCAGGGTGGGAGTAGTGTCACTAGGGTCCAGGCTGGCATTGATGGGCACTAAGCCAGACTTTCGGATTGTAATTGCATTCCCTCTTCTTCCCAAGTCACGTAACCCAGACCACATCCTGGCTCCACCCCGTCATGAGCGCACTGAACCTGGCCTGCTCCGAGGAGAATGAAGAGGATTGCTTGGGAGAACTTCCGGACCACAAGAGTTAATGGCTTTCTGGAAGAATCTGAGCTCTACCATCTACCATCTCCAGCCCTGTGGACAACTCTCGGACTGAACAGTCCAAAATAGGAGTCAGACAACCAAAGTTGTGAAAAGAAATCTCTGGAACAGGCTATTTTTATAAAACATTCTCTTTTAACTGTGTATATTTGCAATATCCATTGCCACTCCAGTCATTAATACTCTAGCACACATTTTTGAAATTCTCTGTAATGAGATTTTATAGTCTGTACACTTTTTCATTTATACTCTGTAATTTTATATGTAGTTCTTTATATAGTGTCAGATATAATGATTTTTATAATTATGCCTTATACTGGAAAATTCCTTGAACATAATGGTACTCTTCTTTTACTTGATATTACGCTAACCTTTGATATTCACATCGTTGGTAAGGAATTTGAGAGAGCGTTTTGGATTCTCTTTATTTGATGCAGGGATCAAACCAGGGCCGCTTCGTGTGAAGTGATGTGAGGTAAATGTTTGACTGCTGAGCCATATCCCCAAATCCCATCTTAGTGTTGTATAAGGATCAAATTAAGACAGGTCCCAAATACAGCTTCCACATTTATGGGACTTTCTTACTTAGAATTAAAAAACACCGTCCTCCTGTTGTTCATCGATTTGCTTCAGCGGGCCCAGTAACATCTCCATTTTTTGAGACTTGTTACTCTGTTCGGCATATTGAATATATGCAGGCGAGATATTCTCGGTAGCTTGCTGGGCTCTCTGAGCTTACTTAGAATACACCTTTCAAACACTGTTTTATTGAGGCCACATAGTATGCCTGTGATGCAGATGCAGTGAGTATTTTTATTCTTACTTTTCAGTTAGTGGACTCCTGTTTCAGAGGAGTGAAGTTCCTTGTCTCAGAGTTGAGATTCACACCCAGGTCTTCTAACTCCAAGCCCAGCCCTCTTGCCACCACACCTCCCCACCACCACCACCCCCCAAGGAGAGGTCACAGGCAGGCACGCAGCCTGGGGCTGTGTTGATGCAGCTGAGCTCCACTGCTGTGCGCTCTGCAGATTCAGGAGTCACCTCTGCAGTCAAGCATGACCCCTGCATGACCCCGCTAATCCCTTCCTCCTCCTTCAGCCCCAGGACCCACCCCCTGGAGGCACAACTTTAGGTTGTCTTTTCAGCTGCCTCCTGGTCAAGTCAAGGCACTGTTTTGCCCTTGCCAGAGTGAGTGTCCAGAGGCCAGTGGAGGGAAGAGGGTATCTGGACTCTCCTCTGCACTCTGAAGAGACGTCCTTGAACTACTTCTGCTGAGCTCGAAACCACTTCACTGACTTTACCCTCAGTACTGATTATACTTCTGATTTTAAGAAAGATGCCTGGCAGGTTTGGGAAGGAATTGACTTGGAGTGTTAAATATTTTTCCTCAGTTTAATGCCATAAACCAGGGTCTGGGAAATGGAAGAAAGACAGGGAGGAAGTCATTTTTAATAACTTGGGGCATTAGAGACCAGCTAAAGAATAGTAACAAGGATCTGACTTTTACCTAATATTATTTCGTTTGAGGAGTGTGCTTAGGAAGAGAGTCAGAATCACCGTCAGTTCATCAGATGGTCTGTTTCCTGTTCCCAAACCATGTTTGATAACTCAGAGGTTATTGTGTGTTACTGTGGCCTCTTCTGTTTTTCCTTATCAGTGCCCTTACCTCTTCTTCCCCTCCTCCTCTTCCTCTCCTCCTCCCTTTTATACTTTCCCCCTATTTCCCCTTCTTTCCTATTTTTCCCCTCTCCCCCTAAAACAAAGGAACTCAGAGCCTTGGAATTTTGAAAAGAACCTTGAGAACTATCAGATGTAAAGATTTTTCAAACAGATCTTAGTGGAACTCCCTTTTCAAGCGAATTTTTATACCTAATGCATAAGTGATTTTTGTTTGCTCATGTTGTTGCTTTGTTTGAAACAAAGTAGTGACCTAGAATCCAGTCAGAGTAGTCCTCAGCACTACAGGGCGAACCTCAAGCTCTTCATAATGAAGCATAAGACTCTTCCATCTGGGGCTGGAGCTGTAGCATAGCAGGTAGAGCTGTTTTGCCTTGCACAAGGCCGACTCGGGTTCGATTCCCAGCATCCCATATGATCCCACAAGCACTGCTAGGAGTAATTCCTGTGCGCAGAGCCAGGAATAACCTCTGCACATTGCCGGGTGTGAACCACCTCCCGCCCCCCCAAAAAAGACTTCCATCTGTAGCCACTTGAAAGATGAATAAACTGAGAGCCAAAGAAGTCACGGTAGTTAGTGACCAGGTTAAGATGGCGCCTAGATCTTCAATCTCCTAGTCTATTGAATGCCATGCAATATAGATAGATGCTCTGAACATGCATTTTGTGCTCAGTCACATATTACTGGACATGTATAGGATTTACAACCGATTATCTTGAATAATAGCAGAAAGTCAAATCCGATCAGATAGCTCCTCAGCTAGTCATTAGCACTGAGAAGTTTCCGAGTGTCTGGAGATTTGTATTCCCCTGACAGCCTTTTGACTATTACTTGCTTTAGGGAGACAGGTTTGGAGAGAAGCTCCTAAGGGAGCTCTTTCCTTGTGTCCCCCGACATGGATGAGTGAGATTCTCAATCACCTGAAATTACTCTTTTTGAGTAAGTAGCTATCATTGTGAAAGTACAGACTTTCTGTTGTTTCCAAATTAGTGGTATGAGTTATCCCTCTCCCTGTTGAGAGTGTTTTTGTAATTTGTGTCAAGTGAGAAAAGCACAGAAGAGACACTATTCACCTTGAGATCAGGGTGTTCAGACACGCCAACAGGCACCTCATCTGTTACCTTGGCAGCTCAGTGCCACGAGCACCCCTCACGTCACCCCTACCCCGCCCCCCAGCTTCTGCCAGGGACCTAATGGTAAAAGATAGTAAAGATTGTCATATCTATGGGGTGTTTTGTGCCACCCATTGTGATGGGTGGTTTGCCTAGATTTTTTTGCAGATGTTCCCTTGCTTGAGGCTGGAACTATACTAATCCCCATTTTGTGAGGAAGAAGCAGGTTTGGAGGAGTTGTGCTCAGCTCTGCCGGCAGATCACGCAGCACCTTCATGTACAAGCTGGCTTTCAGAGCTGTTCTCCTGGGTCCTGTTCTCCAACCACCCCTGTGCTTAGATTCCTGGGGCATGGTGCTAGGGGCAGAGCTGGAGTCAGTGGGTGCGTTTTACAGAAAGGCAGATTCCAGTGTAGTGCAATAAGGAAGAATCAACCCCAGAGATAGTGGAGGGCTGTCCAAGTGTGAGGCTGGGTCTATATGGATCTGCAGTTAAGGGGGAGAATATTACTGAGAAAGTTCAGGGTCTGAATTTGTAAAAATATTTGGATTTTTGTGTTGCATTTGTTGTTGATTTAATTTTCTGCCCTTGTTTATTTATGGTATTTATTCACCAAGATATTTAGATGTTTCCGTTATCATTGTCTAACCTCTCCTGTGACTCTTAAACTTGCTCATGAATGCTTTTTGTATTCCCCCTCCCTGCCAGACATACCCAAACGCACACCTTGTATCCCATTCCTTACCCTTCTCCTCAGGAAACCTTAGTCCTGTTATAAATGCCTACTGGCTTGTCTTTTAATTTTGTTTTGTCTCTTCATCAATTTTATATTCTCCTACTGCACACATAGGTGAAATTATTCAGTACTTTTCCTTTTGCTTCACATAATTCCCTCAGGCTCCTTCCATTTTACTGTGAATGGAACAGCAAAATATAAAGGCATCTATTAAAATATAGTATACACTATAAAGACATCACTATCACAATATTACTACAAAAATATTGTCTTTATCCGATCTATTGAGGGCAGTTTAGTTGCTTCCATAGTTTAGCTGTTGTACATAATAGTGCAACATACGTTGATGTGAATATGACATTTTGTGTGAATCCTTTTGTGTTCTTCAGATAGACACCCAAAGTTAGATTGCTGGATCATATGGTAGCTCTATCTTTAGCTTCTTAAGGAAACTCCATGGCATTTTTTAGAATGACTACATCAATTTATATTCCCACCAACAGTGCCCAAGAGTTTCTTTTTCTTCACACCTTCTCCAACACACATTATTGTGCTTTTAATGTAAACCATTCTCACAGGTGTGAAGTTGTGTCTCATTGGGGTCTGATTTTTGCATTTCCCTAATGACCAGTGATGATGAACATTCTTTCCTATGCACATCAAAATCTATATGTTCCTTTTTGGAGCAATGTCTCTATTTTTTTTTCTTTTTTAATTAAATTGTTTTGTTCTGGTGTTAAATGGAATGAGTTCTTTATAGGTGTTGTATCCTTATCAGATATATGATGGGGTGCATATCTTAACCAATAAGTAAGCTGTTTTCTGTTTGTATTGCTTTTGATGTAGAAAAGCTTTTCAGTTTCATATAATCTCAGTTCTTTAATCTTTACTTTCATTTTCCTTGTTGTTGGAGTCAAGTTCCCAAAAGCATCTCTAATGCTCATGTCATATGACATTTCACCTGTGTTATAGTCTCTGTATTTTATGGGTTTGAGTCTTTCAGTTGAGTAGACATGCTCTGTTCTTTTGCATGTAATTGTTTGGTTTTCCCACCACCATTTATTGAAAACTCTCCTATCTCCACTGTGTGCCTCTCCCTATGTAGGCACTGCTTCTCCAACCATCTGGTACTTTTTCACAGCCCATATTTCACTTTGTTATTTAGTTGAAAATGCAGGAAGGAGAGTACAGCATTGCTACTTGTCTGCCATCTTGCCAGAGTCCCTTTGACTGTACCACTTGTACAATCCTCAGATTCTCCTTTCCTTTCCATTATGACCTCTAAACTAAAAAAAAACTGTCTTAAATATGCTGCAGGAAACAAGTGGTGAGGACTCACATGGATTTATTTTCTAACCATGTTTCCCTCCTGCAAAAGAATTGATCCTTTTTTAAAGAACAGCAAGAAATTATTTAATCTTACAAATACTCCAAAAGTTATTTTCTGATACAAATAAAATTGTCAAATTATTATTATTATTATTTGGTAAATTAACTTTTATATAGCTAATCTTAAAAAAATGAACCTCTTCCTTCTTTCCTTCCTTCCTTCCTTCCTTCCTTCCTTCCTTCCATTCTTCCTTCCTTTCTTCCTTCCTTCCTTCCTTCCCTTCCAGTGGGGTGGTTACATCATATCCAGTGGTACTAGGGGTTACCCCCAGCTCTGTGCTCAGGGGTCACTCCTGGCAGTGTTAGTAGTGGGGTGCGGGGCATGTGATGCTGGGGATTGAACCTGGATCTCCTGCATGGAAAACAAGCACTCAGCCCTTTGAGCTAACTCTCCAGCTCCTAAATCAGCCTTTTTGTTGTCATTAGCAAAATGTGACCCTCAGTGTCTGTTAGCCTCTATGAACTCTCACAGCTCTTATGTCCCTGTTATAGGCAGGTAGACAGGGAAAGGCC